ATAGAGAAGTACATACGTTAGGCCCTGTATACAGTGGCAGAAATACCACAAACAATAATGATTTGATATAACATATTCATCAGCATTACGGACTCTCCGTTGAAAAAACGTTATCAGACCGCGCCTATCTATCGCGCGAGTGTTCGACTCACTCGCACGCAGTGGTGCTCCGCGCGCGACACGGAATCGCGCACGAATTTCTGAGTCCTAGTAATGGATATTTCCTGGAAAGTACGGTCGTAGCATATTTCTTATAGTGCGACGCTCCAGAGATACACGTTCGCTCGCGATCCGGCGAGGCGGATCGGCTCGAGCGTTGAACGGTAGTAGGCGATGGGGGAAAAGGAGGCGGCGCTTCAAAAATCGGTCCAATCTTGCACACATGCACACGTTTCCGAGCACTGTTGTATAGCTTACGCATTCCCTTGCGCATCTTATGATGTAAAACTCCATTATATACAAGGTGTCCCATTTTAAACAGTACATTAAAATTTTTCGAAATATGGAAAAATATTTCTAACAGAAATTGTATGGTTTGGAGGGGGACATAAGAAGGTCCCATTGATTTGGCTTTGGGTGACGTTGTTAAGGTCAAGTCAAGGTCAAATCGATTTTTTTAAATGGAACATTATACGAGGTGTGATCAAAAAGTAAGGTGACTTTTCATTTTTATAAAAAAATATTCATTTATTCATCCAAAGTTATGTTATCTCCTTAAAAATAATCCCCCTCTGATACAATGCACTTGTGCCAGCGCTTTTTCCAGTCGTCAAAACACTTCTGAAATGCACTTTTGGGTATTGCCTTGAGCTCCTCCAGCGATGCAGCCTTAATCTCCTCAATCGTCGCAAATCTTCGTCCTTTCATGGGCCTTTTCAATTTTGGGAAGAGGAAAAAGTCGCAGGGGGCCAAGTCTGGTGAATACGGTGGCTGAGGCATGATGACAATATTGTTTTTGGCCAAAAAACTACTCACTAGTAACGTGCGCAGGTGCATTATCATGGTGCAGAATCCATGAATTTTCTTTCCACACTTCCGGAGGTTTTTTTCTTAAGATCATCAGCTATTTCTCTAATCGTGATTCGACGATTTTTCAACACAATTTCTTTCACTTCCTGAACATTTTCGTCGGTTTTTGACGTGCTGGGGCGTCCAGAGCGAGGTCCATCGTTAACATTTTCTCAGCCCTCTTGGAATAACTTATACCATTTATAAACATTTTTTTTGCTAAAAGTTGACTCACCATACGCCACTGTCAACATTTCAAGAGTTTTTGAACACTTAATACCATTTTTTACACAAAAATTAATACTCTGCTCCATTATTTTCAACAGCAAAAAATCGCCGAGCACGCAAACAAGAGTCTAACCTTTATGCCTCTCACATAAAAACAACACATGCTATATAGACAAAACTGTGAACATATGAACGTGACGAGTGTACCAACACAATGTAGAAGGTCTCATTGATTTGGCTTTGGGTGACGTTGTCAAGGTCAAGTCAAGGTCAAATCGATTTTTTGAAATGAAACATTATATTTTAGATTCCAGAATCTAATAGCTGATAGCAAGAGTTTTTCAAAATACTAGAATAAAGTTATTTATCATTAATACTTTTCCAGTTTTAAGTTCAAAGTTACAGCACCGACGGCATTATAGCATTACGCATGCAAGGTGTCCGATCGACGGCTAAAATCTATTGAATGTATTTCAGAATCATGTCCTGAATAACATTTGTTAAATATTCAAGAATAAATACTCCACGCGAGCGAAAAACTGGAGATTTTTCCCGTCTACTGGAGAACTGGAGATTGGTCCCGAAAACTGGAGTCTCCAGTCGAAATCTTGAGATTTGGCAGCCCTGGTCCGCGCGCGATCCGGCGCTGCGGCTCGGCCGTCGAGTGTTGAACAGTAGTAAGCAGCGGAGGAAAAGTAAGCGGCACTTCAAAAAAGCCCATCGGCTTTAAGCAACTATTTCTGAGCACTGCTACAGAAGATGACATAATTTTATAAATGCGTAGAATTATTCATAGAATGCTGTAGTGTCAGTAATCGGGCTGCACAGTACTATTCACAATAGCGAATTCGGTCGCTTGCACTACACTAGATCAGTGCATACTAAAAGCTGCTTTACGTGAAATTAACAAAGTTAAATGTAAAAGTATGTAACTATTCTAAACG